AGCCCCGTAACTGTCTGCATCAGAGTGCGACACCTCAACAGTAGCTCACAGGGGATGGGGGTAAGGAGGCATTAAAAGGATAGGATTAAATGGTATAGAGATAGAGCGGAAGGAGAGAGCGTAACGCAGGCACAGCGACACCCAGAAGTAAGGAGAAGATAGGAAAGATGGACACGGTCGCAGGAGTCTGAGGACGAAGCACCACTCATCGAGAGATATTGTCGGCGTCAGGAGATGGCGTAGGGCGAACCAATTGGCTAGAGCTGCGTTGTCGTCGGAGATAGCGCGGGCACAACCGGTCGGCACGAAATCTGGTGAGCGAGTCTCCCAATACTTTTTGCCGCATGACGCTATTAGAATCAATGTATCCCAAAGATAACCAGAGTTCCAAATATATATTCTTTTTGTTCACGTACGAAACTGTTGTCATTCGTTAGGCGCACTCTCGCCCGAGTTGGTATACTGGCCACTGTGTCTATATGTTTTGTGCTAATGCACTTAAAATGTTCATTCTATGAATGGCGTATTGTACATGTATGGTCTGCAGCAGCCTTTCGCATGCATGCCAAGAAAGAGCGGCTTGTCGAATTGCTTTATATTCCAGTTCATCCTATAAGAATCTATAGTGACAACCCGAAAATAAGTGTAAGCTCCACTCACAGTAAAAATAAATTTTCATAGGTACCCTTAACGTCGATTAGTTTCTTGACGTCAATCAATAGTGATTGTTTTACAAAGCAGTCAAATTTCATCACATCACAGCACGCACATCCGGTCAGTATCGAAGACATGCATCTATGTATCTGAGATGCTATTTTTGACAATCTTCGGGTATATTGTATCTGTATCGTGATACGTACAGCAAACATGTATCATCAAAACTTCTTTTTGGGCGGGCTGGTTCATTGTAGAGCAAGGCCCGGAGTAGGAGCGCGAAACACGCCCGACAAAGAGAAGAAGACACGAACACACAGGCGCTGTGTGTCTTATTTCATGTGGGTGTGTTTCCACGCCTCTATTCTCTTACTCTAAAACGTGTATCGGTATATATATATATATATATATATATATATATATATATATATATATATATATATATATATATTTCTGATAGAGGCATTGCCTGTCTAAAGGTACCAGCGTTGGCTCAACTCCGCTTCTCATACTCATACAGGCATGCGGTCACTAAGCAAGCTCGGTAAAGGCCTATCAACTGCTCTAGGATATACACGGACAGAAGACGGCAACACGCCCTCGTCTTTTGTCCGTGTATTCCAGCGCAGTTCGTAGACTTTTAAAATTAACGTGAACCAAATAGCCCGACTCGACGCTCTATACAGTAAAAAGTGTATGTCAACAACATAAAATGTATACTTATTTTCTGTTTTGCCTAGATGAAATTTCTGGTACTAGGTGAAATGAGTACTTGACTTTTCAAATAATCTAATTTCTTTCACCTTGTGAACAAATAGTTTTGTGTAAATCTTAGATCCACTTTGTAATAATACCGCATATTGTGAGAGTTTACCTATTGTTGAACCGATAACTTATGTTAGGGCACTCAAGACGTTGCGCACCAAATCGATTCTGCGAAACGCTTGCTGCCATGCTTTATCCGCCACAAAAGCGTGACTCTTGGTACAATAAAAGCCCCGTCTAGAACTAACCATGAAGCCGTCTTCCAAATTTGATAAATTAAGACTTCGCGAAAAGTTGATTTCAAACTCGATCGACAAATGCCAGGTGCATTTCAGCAGTCGCGGCAAGTCCCTTGTGCTGAGAGGACAACGAACGCTAACAAGAAAATGAAATGAGTTGTGCCTACGCTACAGTACAATAAAGTTACTGGGAATGCCGCGAAGCATAGCGAATGCGGGACGTCACAGGAAACAAAGCGTGCACTACTCTGTCATTTGAGCTACAGATGATAGGGAGAGTAAATTTCTGCAAACTAAAAAAAAAAGCATTGCCAGAAAAATTGTGTACATATACAAAAAAGCCTGTTTCTTCGGAAGAAATCAGAAACGAAAAATTTCTGTACAAGAACAGAAAAACAATACCATACAATGTATGCTGAATTCCTGCAAGAATGAAAAACAGGAAGCAGAGAAAAACAGATCTTGTTACTAAATGTCAATAAATTTGCCTTGCACTTTCTGTTTTTTTTTCAAAAGCATTTTGCAGTGTATCCGTCACATAAATGAAGCTAACCATTGACAATCTATTATGCTTACGCTAGTGCCCCCTGCAGCGAGGGCTGATGATGAAGCAGAGTCACGTGGTGGCGCTCACGCCTTCTTTTATCGGCGACTGGTATAAGAATCTTACGGGTGTAAGTTTGACTTTCATGCGATGAGATATACTTACTTGTGAATAAGGCTTTAATAATTATCGCCGCAGCTAGTGATAGTCGTCATAGAGGAACAGTATATCTTGGCGTACTGCATCTTTGTTTTGCTGCTGTCTTTGTTCGAAATGCTTCTTAAATCACAATTTTTCGGTTAACGCAGACGCTCTCTAAGCTTTCTAGAATTGTGCTTCCAGTACATTACGTAGGTCTATTCATTGTTTTTCTTTTTTGTGCGTTTTTTGTGTATATTACAACTTGCCCTTTGTAACACGCTGCAAGAATATGTTATGCTTTATTGTTATTGTTAAACTGTCTGCGTCATTCCTAATATTTACATAATTGAGTTTCCTGTGAAGTCAAGGGGATGTTCCGGACAAAAATAAAACAAAAGAACTGGGAGCGCCTGAAGTATTTAGCAAGAAATATTTCATTTACGATATAGTAAAATAACGATATTAAGTTTGCATTGTATCATAATAGAAATTATAAGAAATATTTGTTAGATATGTTAGTAAGGGGACCTAGAAACATACTTAATACTTTTCTTTCACAAGTGTCCCCACGCGCTCAGGCATTGATTTTTATATGACAACACTTTATGTGTAATTGCCGTAGACACTATAGTGGGGTCACCTGTATACCGTGTTGCTATATATGCACTTTCAGCGATTGTGTGATATGGAGCACCCTTTTTATTTAACGCAGATATAATCTTTCTTTAGTTCAGTTTAATTTTTTTTTAACTTTTACAAATCGCAATCGGACCTACGGGTGCCATTAGCGTCAATAGCAATGGTATCCTGCGACGTTTTGTGCCACTATGTGTCTGAAACGTTTCTAGGCTGCATGATGTCCCTCGCCGAAAAAAAAAAACTTGTTTCCCTTGTCTGACTATTATGTAAGCGTACAGTACTTTGCTGTACGTTGCGGCCTTCCCTCAGATGGCATCGGTGCGGTGTCTTTCATTTTATCTCTTAGGGCAGGGCACTCTAAAGTCGCCTGAGGTGGTGGGGCCGCAAGTACTGAATTTACCCTATAGTGCCTTGTTAGGACAGGTGATAAGGGGGGGGGGGGCAGGGGGGCACGGTCTTTGGAGCGAGGAAATGGTTTGTCGAGAAACTGCAGAGTTAGGGATAACCCTAGGGTTTAGTCGGCCAGATTTGGCATACCTTAGTGCATTTGTGTTAAGGGGGAGTTTGATATGTATAAACAGGTCCCGAAACCGAGTGTAAGCCTTCAGCACATTTTAGCTTTTCTCTTCTCGCGTTACATTATGATGTTCTTTGCGTTACTTATTGACTTAAATACGTGACCGTTTTCGTTCATTTCTTTTTTTTTCTTGTTTGGTTTTGTTAGTTTCTCACGTACTTCGTGTTGTTCTATTTTTTTTCGGTGGTATTACAGTAAAGTATTATTAAAAACACAATAGCTTCTAGGGATATTTTGCTCATACGACGTCCTTGGGAAGGCCAGTGGGAACTGCAAGGGCTAACGTTGGCTGGGAGTAATCCCAATTCCTTCTAATCCTTGCCAAACATCTTTACACTAAGTCTTGTCGTGGCCACCTTGCACCACACAGGTTGTGGAAATGTATGTTTTTAGTACACACATTGCCAGCAAGCCATACCATTGGAAAGAAAGCATATTGCATATCTCAAATACGGATCTTTTATGAAGATTTCGGGCCCGAATCACGTCCCCCATGTCGATACAGTCCTCCAATATGAGTAAAATCTTGACTCCAATTCCAAAATACTGCTTGGGTTTCACGGTTACGGTTAAAGACATGGTCATCGTATATAGGGTGCCTCACGAAAACAGTGTTTTAGGCCAGTCATGCCTGTGTAGCCCGCACACATGATTTTTAAAAATAATGTGGGGCAAAGAGAGTCATGTGTAGGCCGCGGGCCGCATGCGACCCACGACTGCGTACTTGAGACCCCTGTTTTAGAGCAGCGCCGGGAACGGTGCCCTCAAAAGGCGCACTTGCCGCTACCACACAAACGCGAGGTTAGAATTCAATTTTTGCGCAGCCTATATTTTCCCGACGTGCAGTGCTCAAATTCGGGTTCACATGGTGTCATAGAAAAAGGATTTTAATCTATACCAACACGAAACTCAACGAAGGTTTTTTCGAAACTGTTCTCTTTCTAAACTTGATTTGCACCGTGAGCAGAAAATATTCATGCGGTTCATACACTCAGCACTGCCGTAAAAATTAGTTTAGTTTATGCATCTTTTTTTTTCTTACAGCAATGATTATCCTACATGGTAGCGAAACAGAGAATTTTCTCGTTTAACCTGCGTAGAAATGCTCACCGGTTGTAAATAATGAAAGTATTGCACCATTAATGAATACGGCGCGAACTAATAATCATTTACGCGAGTGAATGATGCTACTGTACTGTGATGCGGCATGGCGTAAACGGTGATATGTTTCTGGACATGATAAAACAGAAGACTGGAATATGAACCATCATGGGGATGCTTGTTGTTGGCGTTCCTTAAATCTATCGAAATGTGTTAAAATAAGATGGCAACAGAAAATATTGTATGTAGGATACTATAATTGCAAAAAAGCTTATAAATAAAGCTACCATCTCCGATTGAACTACGGAATCTCGTCGTATGCAGTGTTTGCGCGACGTACCATACTGGAGCCTTCCCCAGCCCATGACGCACACCGTGGTGTCCTGAACCAGGTCCGAGTTAACGGGAGGAAGGGCTACCGTCGTCAGAGACTCCCACGGGATCGGCTCCACAAGCGTAAGCAGGGCTATGTCGTTGTCGTAGGTGGGAATGATGTACTCCTCGTGCTGTATGAAGCTCAGCACGTTGCGCACTATATTTTGGGCGTCGTCGCTCGATGACAGGTTGTAGTCGCCCACGTTCACCGACAGCATGGACGCCGTTTTACTGCGTTGAACAGAGGGTAAAGTGTGCATGTATCAATCATTAACCAGGGCAACTGCAACGGTGACATAAGTTTATTGATTGATATGTGTGGTTTAACGTCCCAAAACCACCAAATGATTATGAGAGACGCCGTAGTGGAGGGCTCAGGAAATTTCGACCACCTGTGATTCTTTAACGTGCACCCAAATTTGAGCACATGGGCCTACAACATTTCCGCCTCCATCGGAAATGCAGCCGCCGCAGCTTGGATTCGATCCCGCGACCTGCGGATCAGCAGCCGTGTACCTTAGCCACTAAACCACCGCGGCGGGGTGACATAAGTTTCATCATCATCATCATCATCATCATCATCATCATCATCAGCCTGACTACGTTCACTGCAGGACAAAGGCCTCTGCCATGTTCCGCCAGTTAACCGGGTCCTGTGCTTGCTGCTGCCAATTTATACCCGCAAACTTCTTAATCTCATCTGCCCACCTAATCTTCTGTCTCCCCCTAACCCGCTTCCCTTCTCTGGGAATCCAGTTAGTTACCCTTAATGACCAGCGGTTATCCTGTCTACGCGCTACATGCCCGGCCCATGTCCATTTCCTCTTCTTTATTTCAACTATGATATCCTTAACCCCCGTTTGTCACCTAATCCACTCTGCTCTCTTCTTGTCTCTTAAGGTTACACCTACCATTTTTCTTTCCATTGCTCACTGCGTCGTCCTCAATTTAAGCTGAACCCTCTTTGTAAGTCTCCAGGTTTCTGCTCCGTAGCTAAGTACTGGCAAGATACAGCTGTTATATACCTTCATCTTGAGGGATAGTGGCAATCTACCTGTCATAATTTGAGAGTGCTTGCCGAATGTGCTCCACCCCATTTTTTATTTTTCTAGTTACTTCAATCTCGTGGTTCGGCTCTGCGGTTATTACCTGCCCTAAGTAGACATAGTCTTTTACGACTTCAAGTGCACTATTACCTATCTCGAAGCGCTGCTCCTTTCCAAGGTTGTTGTACATTACTTTCGTTTTCTGCAGATTAATTTTAAGACCCACCTTTCTGCTCTCCTTGTCTAACTCCGTAATCATGAGTTACAATTCGTTCCCTGAGTTACTCAGCAATGCAATGTCATCGGCGAAGCGCAGGTTACTAAGGTATTCTCCATTAACTCTTATCCCTAACTGTTCCCATTCTAGGCTTCTGAAAACCTCCTGTAAGCACGCGGTATATTAGCATTGGGGAGATTGTATCCCCCTGCCTTACACCCTTCTTGATTGGTATTCTGTTGATTTCTTTATGAAGCACTATGGTAGCAGTTGATCCCCTGTAGATTTCTTCCATAATGTTTATATATACTTCATCTACGCCCTGATTCCGCAGTGTCTGCATGACAGCTGATATTTCTACTGAATCAAACGCCTTCTCGTAATCTATGAAGGCTATGTATAGTGGTTGGTTATACTCTGAGCATTTCTCTATTACCTGATTGATAGTATGAATGTGGTCAATTGTTGAGTAGCCTGTTCGAAATCCTGCTTGTTCCTTTGGTTGATTGAATTCTAATGTTTTCTTTACTCTGTTAGTAATTACCTTTGTAAATAGCTTGTATACTACAGAGAGCAAGCTGATCGGCCTATAATTTTTCAAGTCCTTGCAATCTCCTTTCTTATGTATTAAGATGATGTTAGCGTTCTTCCAAGACTCTGGTACTCTTCCCGTCAGGAGACACCTCGTAAACAGGGTGGCTAGTTTTTCCAACACAATCTGTCTTCCATCTTTCAGCAGATCTGATGTTACCTGATCCTCATCAGCAGCGTTGCCTCTTTGCATGCTCTCCAAAGCTTTTCTGACTTCGTCTATCATTACTGGTGGGGTGTCATCTGGGTTACTGCTAGTTCTTATGGTATTAAGGTCGTGGTTGTCTCGGCTACTGTACAGATCTCTGTAAAACTCCTCCGCTATTTTAACTATGCTATTCATATTGGTAGTTATTTTGCCTTATTTGTACCTTAATGCATACATCTGACTTTTGCCTATCCCAAGTTTCTTCTTCACTGCTTTGACGCTTCCTCCGTTTTTCAGAGCGTGTTCAATTCTCTCCATGTTATACCTTCTTACATCGCATACCTTACGTCTATTAATCAACTTCTAAAGCTCTGCCAGTTCTATTTTGTCTGCTGTACTTGACACTTTCATAATTTGACGCTTCTTAACTAGGTTCTTTGTTTCCTGGGAAAGCTTGGAAGTGTCCTGTCTTACTACCCTGCCTCGAACTTCCACTGCGCACTCCGTAATAATACTGGGGAGACGACGACGAAGTGTCTATTTCATAGAACGCTTGTACACTTGTCTCAAATTTTCTATTTGTTTCACCGCAAATTCTGGGAGCTGCTGCTCCCTCCTTGCGAGAATGGATGAAGAAGCCTCTCAGGATTTTCGAGGTGTACAACCGCTACGTCTGGCAGCGGCTAGGAAACGTGAGACCACCTCAAGTGGCACAGACAGCGAGGCAACGGAGCTCTATTCCGACGGTTTCGAGTCATCACGTGACGACTACACAGTCGTCATGAGCCGCAGTGCAAAAAGAAGACTGCTACGAACATCGTCGACGACGAGTATATCCAACATGCAGGCTACCGCGCAGCGTTGGCCACACACTATACTCTTCATGGCTGTGGACCCTTCAGCCAACCTACGGCGGCTTAACAGGCAAGTCCTCTCTGCATACCTCGAAGGACTCGCTCCAAATGAAATTAAAGACGTCAGGGTCAACTCACGGAAGAATATTTTGGCAGTTGATGTTCTACACCGTAGTGCGCTGCAAAGCCTGCAGAACATCTCGGAAATCGACAGAGTGACAGTTAAATCAGTGATCCCCACTGACTGTAAGGGCAGTGTTGGCGTCATTTATGACGTGGACATTTACATTCCCACTGACGATTTCCCAATCTTGATGAAGCCAACTACATACGACATCCTCATCAAGCACATCAGAAGGCTTGGTCAGTCACGATGCCTGAAGATTGTTTTTGAGGGAGACAGTCTTCCCCCACACGTCAAAGTTGGCCACGTTCGCCATCAGGTCCGTCCATACATACCGAAGCCCCTACAATGCTTCAGATGCTTCAAGATGGGACATGTCAAAGGAGTATGTACCAGCAATGTCGTGTGCCCGCGGTGTGCCGAACCTCATTCAGAAGACACCTGCCATGCAACTGCGTTCAAATGCTCCAATTGCCACGGCGCTCATAAAGCGTCGTCTAAAGATTGCCCACGAGTGAGAAATGAACGCGCGGTGCTGAAACGCATGGTGCGCGACAATTCAACGCACAGGGAAGCCGCTGCTACTGTCAGGCGACGTCGGCGTCACCACAGAAGATCATCACGCAACGTGGCATCTGCCGATAGAGACCCGTCATCTCAAGCAAGAAGAACTGGCCCCCCATTGTCAAGCTCTGCGAAGACGGATACACCGAAAACAGAATCAGGGTCAAGACTCCCACATCGTGAAGAGTGGCCATCACTTCCACGAACACAGCCTGTTTCCGAGGTGCATCGATCCCCGCCAACCTCAATGCCATCACGAACCACTGATGAAAAGACAACTGAGGATCGCCAGGTCATCAACATGTTGCAGACCCTTATGAGCGCAATGCGCATGCTCCTAAGCAACATGAACACCCCATCAGCACAGAGCGCACTCCAAGTGCTGGACACTTTGAGTCCGGTGCTTGCAGCTCTAAGATAAAACGATGGCCCGCAACATGTTATCCTTTCACGAGGAGGTCAAGAACGCATCTGTCCTTCAGTGGAATGCCAGAGGAATTAGGGCGCGTATGTATGAGTTCCGGCAATATGTATTCACAAACCAGTTCTCTATAATTGTGATTTGTGAACCGAACCTGTCAGCCCAGATGAGACTGTCTGGATATGAGTGCTTTATGTCTTCTACCCATGGAGAACGCAGCAAGGTCGTTGTGTTCATACGGCGCGACTTAACTTATGTTCATCACCCTGTACCCCCTGATGAAGAAAACCAGTACGTTTGCCTAACAGTAAAAAACAAGAAGACCACGTTCACCATCATCGGAGCCTACTTACATCCATCAAGTCGTCTAGACCGAGAGCGCTTGCGCGGAATTTTGAATTCAACTCTCCAGCCATGGGTGATAACTGGTGACTTCAATGCCCACCACTACTTATGGGGAAGCTCCAGGGTCAACACTAGAGGTAGACAGTTAGTGTCTTTCGCTTCTGAATGTGAACTTATCCTCGTGAATGATGGCAGCCCTACTTATCTGCGCGGATCGGCCTATAGCAGTTGCCTGGACCTCACTTTCGTCTCACGCTCGTTCACACGCAGAGTGCACTGGTTTTCGGATTTGGAAACAAGGGGTAGTGACCACATCCCAACATACCTGAAGAATGACGGCTTTCCAAGTCTCAAGTCCTCCAGAGCCGTCCAGTGCACCGATTGGCAAAAATACAAGTTAATCATGGAAGACTATGTTGGCGCCTCACCTTTCAACCTAGAGGACGCAATAAAGAGTGCCCTACAGTCAACGACGCGTTCGCTTCCGGTGAGCTCATCTCGCACTGATATGGACATTGATCTCGAGAAACTCCGAGCGATTCGTCGTCGTGCAGAACGACGTTATAGACGCACGAGGTCACTTGATGATCTGAGAGTGGCCAGACGCACACAAAAGAAAATACAGCGTCACATGGACAAGTTGGCCAAGCAACGATGGGTATCTTTTTGCGAGTCTTTGGATCCCAGAAAGCCTCTGTCACTAATCTGGAGAACTGTCCGGGGTCTTCGTACAACCATTACTCAGCGCTACCCATTAAAATCTCTGGCACTTCACTTACGCTGCGAAAAGATTGATGTCGCAGATTCCTTCTGTCGAAGGATTGCCTGCGGCTCAAATTCAACTGGGACAAAGACACCCGACTTTTCTGTATCCTCACGTGATCCCTGAATGGAGATTTCGTTTTCAATGGATGAACTAAA